ACTCCAAAGTCACCAGAAGTATAATATGTGAAGAAATCCTTCCTTGATGTAACATGCAATGTAGCGCCACTGTCAACTATTCATATGGTCTCATCTGATACAAGATTAATAGACTCGTGGTCACGTAGAATAACAAGATCATTACAAGTAGTAGTAGTAACACGATCATCATCATGATCATCGTGATCTCTTTGTTTAGACTTACCTTTCTTGCCTTTGTTATCCCTTTTCCATTGATAATAATACTTATGTACATGTCCTGTTTTGTGATAATAATGACACTCCAGATTCTTATATTGTGGTTTAGACTTGCTTCTGCTATTCTCTCTACCACCCTTCAGTTCATTTTTCTGACTTCTTTCCCTATTTTCAGTGATAAGTACCTCAGATTGAGATGAAGAACCTTGTGCCTTCCTTCTGATCTCCTTATTCAGAAAACCACCCTTAGTCGTTTCCAAAGAAATAACACCTCTAGGAGCAGAATTTGTAATAGAAACCCGAAACGTCTCCCAAGACTCTGGTAAAGATAGTAATAGGAATAATCCCAAAAGTCCATCGTCAAATTTGATACTCATTCCTAACATTTGATCAAGGAGCCCTTAAAATTCACTCAAGTGGTCTGAAATGGAATTCTCCTCCTTATACTTCAAACTTATGAAGCTATTCAACAAGAACAATTTATTATTCCCTGATTTAGGAGGCATACAAAGACTCTATCTTATTCCACAAATTTTTTACATGTGTCTCATTAACAATATGATTATAAACAGTATCTTTTACATATTGTCAAATAAAATCACATACTTATTGATGTTCAAATTCTCATTCTTCATCAGACACAGAATCCAGTTTTACTGAACTAAAAATTGGTAAATGTAATTTCTTCACAAATAGTAAGTATTTCATCTTGCACTTCTATAAATGGTAATTAGAACCATTCAACAATACCATCTTCATCTTTATATTTGATTTCGTAATTCAAACAAGTAAAATAACCCTTAACCAAGAGTCATGATACCGCTCTGATGGGAAATTAAGACTGGATAACAAAACAATACACAACAGATATATAATTCCTATCAGTTGTAGGAACCTTGAGGATCAACAACAAATATAAGACGGCAAACCGAACAAATAAAGGCATAAAAGAATATTGATATTTTTAATGTGTAAAACCCCTCAATGCGAGAGTAAAAACCACGAGTCATCCAGGCCAAAGAAATAGATCCATTATAATCAATTGAGGTTAGAAGAGAGTCTTAAAGTGATTCACAAAATAGTGATAACAACCGCAAATCACAAAGCAAACTAGCTTACAAATAAGAATCCAAAAAGCTGAAAAGTTACCCAAATCTGCAACTTTAATGCGAAGCAATTATCTTTCAGCTTAGACTTCATTTTGAAGATCTCAACGGTCAAAAGTTAGATATAGGTGTTGTGAACCTATCCTCCAAAGTTGAGCTCGATCGATGGCTAAAGAATCGGGGATCGTCGATTTAGCGACACTGGTGCGGGAAAAATAGGAATGAGTTTCTCTCCTCTTTTCTATCTTTTGAATCCTTATTTTCTCTTTATTTATTTTAACCCTAAATGTACACTCTCCACTTATTTTCTCTCTACTATTGTGTACAAGTGTGAGTTGTAAGTCCCATATCACTTGGAATATTGGAGGTTGATCACTTTATAAATGAGATATATGGTGTCTCTTTCACTTGTGTGTTGCTCTTGATCGAATGTGGATGCTCTCTATCATGACCCAACAAAAGAATGATTAATTTTTGTCGGGTCTAACAAGAAATAACTTTCCTCACCAAATTGAGGAAACTGAACAAAAGTATCAAAATTGATTAAAAATACAATTGTATCCTTAGGCTATTTTGCGGGTTTGGAAGAGAGTGAAAGAGAAGGTTTTGAATAAAGAAAGTTTTAAAAAAATATTGAGAAACTAACAGAATACTGGTGCGTCCGCACAGGTAAATTTATTTAATACGACATATATTTTATTTAAATATATATGTAAATTTAAAATTAGTTATTTAATTATAAAATGAATAATGATAATATAAATTCAATTGTATTAAATAATTTCTAAAAAAGAAAAAAAAAGTTTGTAAATGGAGAAATGAAAAAAAATTGATATTTGAAAATAAGAATTTTGTGTCTCAAATAAAGACAACGGTTAATTATAATAAAATAGGTATTTTGCTGACAGTGACTCGTGAAAAAAAGATAAATTTTGATATTTGAAAAATAAGAATTTTGTGTCTTAAATAAAAACAATTGTTAATTAGAATAAAATATGTATTTTGCTGATAGTGTCCTGTGAAGAAAAGAGAAATTTTGACATTTGAAAATGAGAATTTTGTGTCTCAAATAAAAGCAATTATTAATTAAAATAAAATAGGTATTTGCTGACCCGTGAGAAGAAAAAAATTGACATTTAAAAAATAAGAACTTTGTATCTCAAATAATGAAAATATTAATTAAAATAAAATATGTATTTTTCTGATATTGATCCACGAGCTGAAAAATTAGTTATGTGTATGGTTATTTACTAAATGTCAATATTGTATATATTTATATACTATAAATAGTTAATATGATAATTATATATTATAATTATATATTTTAATATATTAAAAATAATTAAGAAAAAATAAAAGAATTGGATAGAAAAGATAAAATGATGAAATGAAAAGAAAAAGAAATATAAAAAGAAAAATAAATTTAATTTAAAAGAAGAATGAGATAGTGAGTGAACATATTAAAATTATGAAATGTGTGGGTGCTTAATAGAGAAAGTGAAGGATAAAAATAATTTAATTTACAAAAGTAGAAAAAAATAATTTGAAATGAAAAATTAGTTTTGTATTGGCAAATCTCAACAATTTATTAAATAAAGAATGTGTAATGAAATTAATTCGAAAGTAAATGACACTTATGGTAGTTTAGTAGCATATTATATTAATAAACACATAAATACTCATATACCCTTTTTGCAGTGAAATTAATTTGAAAGGAAATTTATGGTAGTTTAGTAGCATGTTATATTAATAGACATATAATTGATTATTAACATTTAAGAAGAATAATTTTATATACGGTTGATAGCTATTTTGGTCCCTCTTTAAATCCATTCAACAAAATCTTTGACTTGACAATTTTTTTTTATTTTTTTTTAGAAATTCCACGGTGGCATTTATTTTTAAATATTTATTAGACAAACTTGATAAATCTTATAAAAAGGTAAAAATTGGTTTTGTGAAGACTTGAATCCAGGACACTTATTACACCAACTTATATTACTACATATTTAGATTATATTTTTAATTCAATCATCTCATACACAAGCTTATATTTTTATTTCGTTTTATCATACATAATAACATTAATTCATTATGTACATATTTTTTATCATATATTTATTGATTTTTAAATAATATTATTTAATTAAAATATTTAATAACACTTATTTAAATGAAATTATTTAATAACTATTATTTTAATAAAAATATTTAATAACTATTATATACACTTTTAAATATTATACATTATATAAATGTATTACAGTATAATATTTAAATATTTAATAACAATTATTTTAATTTTTTAATTCTAAAAATCGAGAGAAATTTCATATTATGAATTAAAATAAACCTCAAAAACCTTCTACACAAATCCATCCATTCTTTTACACAATTCTTTCATTTTTTTTCTTTAAAGTTTTCCCCTTTCTTCTTCTCTAGGGCTGGGCTTGGAACAGGGCAATCAGACCCACACACTAGAACCTCAAAATTTTGAATGATGGGTTTTGTAAAATAATTATATGCATGTTATATATATAATTAAAATCACACCAATAAAGATGTTATAAGTAAGACACCATCTATTTTACCCGGAAAAAATGTTTGAAGATGCATATCTTGATAGATTCTAGAGATATATTTCCGTTAGTGTCTTGTTTGATTTCCAAAAAGTAAAACAACACTTGCATGGGAAATTAATAATTTGATTGTTGATCATTTTGAAGTAGTTTCTTTTCAATTCAGCACAGTATGGCTTAGAAAATCTCCAAGAGAAGCTCCTATCTAGGTTGAACATTAATTCAGGAGATGTGAACGAATGAATTCCAATCATACTACACAGACTAAGAAGGCCTTGATGGCATTTGCAAGCCATGGCCGGTGGACTGGTTCGGTCTGGGTAGCAGAGTAATCATTACTACTCGAGACAAAAATTTGTTAGAAAGGCATGGGATTAAAACAAGTATGGAGTTGATGAGTTAGATGTAGGAGAAGCTCTTGAATTGTTGAAGTGGAAGGCTTTTAAATAATATATATAATTCATCAAATTACAAGGACATTTTATACCGCACAATGAAAAGCTTCTGGCCTTCCATTAGCTTTAGAACTAACATCTGCAATGCATCTCCATACATTTTTACGGGCAAAAATAAAAGATGTCTCACTTGTAACACCATTTTCACCGTGGTGTGAGAGAATATAAGGACAGAAAGAGCAACCCAAAAAAAACATAGGAAAAACACTGTTTTGTCTAATTTTGAACGATTGAAACCTTCTTTCTTCTTTCTTCTGTAAAATGTTTTATGATTATATTCATCTATCTAAAAGTAGATTCAACAATAAATTCCAGAGATAAAATATCCAAATTCTAACTTCAATTTGTAATAAATTTCAGAGGCAAAATCAATTCTAATTGAAAACACTGAAACATGTGTGACAATTTCTAGAATCCATTTTGCCTTCTCAAAAAGTAAACTATTTTTGAGGAACTAAACATATAAATACAGTCATACTGCACCAAGAAACTATAAAATCAACCAACAAACAATAAAAAGATTATAAAACTCAACTACTCTGTATTAATTCTTAACATTATGCTGTTTAATGGTACAAAATGACACCTTCAAGTTCAAAAAAAACATGACATTTGCTCATAGTATCTTGGAGGTCAGACCGTAATTTGGTTAAGATTCATCATTACTCTTTCGAAGTTATCACGAGCAACCCCAAGGCACCAATGAGAATATACTGCAAAAAAGAAGAGACAGCTTTAGCACACTTCATACTCGCTCTAATATAAAGAGTTGACTTGAAAGAGAAAAGTAGAAAATCATAACCACGATTGCATATAAAACATGATACAAATTCCACAACTTTCTTTCTAATTCAGCTAAATGATAACACAATGTTCAGTGGATTGGAGGAGTAAACAAACCTTGATGATAGGTTTCTCCGTCATGATAATTGTCACCCAGCCAACATAAGGTAAGAACCTGTTTCATAAAAGGACTTTCAACTGAACATGTTTCATATTATAGAATGCAAACAGTATGAATCAGTGAAGGATAAACACTTGGTATATATCATGTTCAAAGGCCCAAGAAGTGTTTAATACTCCACAAATAGATGTGCAGAGGCATTAGTCATGCATGCATAGTATAGTTTGAGACTTAAATGCATACAACCTTAACCTTTGATTGCAAATAATAATATAGGTTGTCATGGTAATGGATGAATGATGTTTCCAAGAGAAATTTAGAATCAAGTGTAAAAGAAATGCTATACCCGACAGCTCTACCCATAATGTGGTGCCTTTGGAGCCACAGCTGACCATGAGCGTACAGAAGCCTGTCATCACCGTAATTGTTATCTCCTGCCAAAAACAGAAATATAAATGGCATTACATTAACAGTCAACAACTAGATAAAGTGGACAACTTAACAAAAATTATGAAATAGAATATGAAGAAAAGGAAGAAAATCAAATTCACTAATAAAAGATTGGGTTTTGTAAAATAGTATTTCTATATTAGTTACTACCTTTTGTGAGAACATCAACCTCCCCATTATCTCCCCTTTCGTGTACCTACAAAATGATCAAGCATTAAGAGCCTCAGACACAGGACAATCTTAATTATCATTTACTGCATGATAATAACAAATAACTGTATATTTTTGAAAGCATAAAGAAAGTTAGAAAGGCTGAGAAAAGTTATGGTACTTCCAAATGGCTTCACAAATTAATGGGCTGATCCTTAATTTTGAGGTAAGTTATGATGAATAAGTAAGACCTGGCAGTAGCTAAGTTGATAAGACCTGATATAAAATGGTCTCATAACCACATAAAGATGGGTAAGCTTAATCCTGTTATGTAACTAATGTAGTTACAGTTTGCCTAGCTATTCCAAGACATTTATGAAATAAAATTCACCCACCCATCCAGCACCGAGAACCATTTTTCCTAACATTCCAGCCAGTAGACAAAACTATATGTGGTTCCTCTCATCTGAGACTCTGACATGAGAAGATACAAAGCACTTCGCCTCAGAATCAGAGTCAGTAATGATGCAACTGTTGCAATGAACAAACTAAATTCAACCAAAATATTGAGCTTACCTTAATTACACGATGAACGATCGGAATCTCTCGTCCCTACAGAAGAAGAAAAGGTGCATACCAATAGATTTTGTCAGTAAGGTAAGGAAAGTATCAAGCAGAATACAAAGAATCAGAAAAATGCTGATACATAGAGGTCAACTTACATCAACATTAAATACAACAATCTCCCCTGCTCGAATTGGTTCCTTACTCATGTGTAAGAACAAGATGTCCCCCTGAAAAAGCAAACATTCATTAGCAACAGAAAGAAACAGACAAATTATATTCCCAAAGCTTCCATGGATAATATTGGCTTACCCGCTTGAATCCCGGTTCCATACTTCCAGAAAGAACAACAACAACAGGAGATTCACTGCCAGTGATGCACATCAATGCCTTCCATATTATCAGTGCAGATGTAACAATCATGCCTGAAGCAAAAAAAAAAAAACAAACCACCTCACTAAATATAATTTGCATAAATAGACCATAAATCCAGCATGTTAACATTGTAGCAAAAAATCAGCATAGCATAAATAGAGAAAAAAACCAATCAATAAAAACATCAAAGTACTATTTCCAGCATAATTCATACATAATACAAAGAAAAAAGGGGGAATTTTTTTTTTATGATAGTAACAATGATCTGCAACCAGTTAACAGTGTTCATCCTCACAATTTTCCTTCATCAAAAACTTGAAAGAGGGATACTGTAATCACCCCCCAAATTACTACTAAATCCATAAACCAGAACATGAAAAACCTTGAAAAACCTAAAATGAAACAAAAAATGACGGCTCATTCTTGACATAACATAAACCCTAAAAGGAAGAATTCACATCTAAAACATAAAAATTCTACATTTTCAGAATCGACCCACATGAATGTAGCTCAGAAATCGAAGTTAAATAACGTAAAAAGAGAATTTTGTTGGTATGAATTGAATGAAAAGATTTTCAAGAGAGATAAAGAAAGAGAACGAACCAAGACTAACAGCCTGAGTGAGGACCTGACGGATCTGAAGAGATTTGATAGAATCCACAGTCTCACCGATCATACCCATTGCTTCTTTCTTCTTTCTTTCTCTACCAAACTTCACCACTTTCTTCAGTTAACAATTGGAGAAAACCAAAGACCAAACCAAGGCCAATTTCTACCAAAAACTTTTTTATTTTTTTTTTATTTAGAGTGTTTCTAATTAGTATTTTTTAGTGGTTCTGTTTTCTGATTGGATATAATGTGTCATTGTGACAAAACAACTATCAAGAAATGTCTTGTACTACCAATTATATTAATCTATGCAAACCTTTGTATAAAACTTTTTTTACACCAATCAAATCACTTTCTCAAATTATTTTTTAGGTTAGATTTAAGAGGAAAAAAAATTATCCATTGATTGTTTAAAGTATTTTTATATTGTTTATCGTCCAATCACATTTTTAATTTTAAAATATTAATATAATATGATGTTATAATTTTATTAGATGATAGTGTAAATTAATTTACACAAAAAATGTATTACTTTTAATCATTAATTTTAAATATATTTATTTAATATTTATTTAATATAATTTGACTATATGTTTAAAATGTTTTAGGCTGCCAATACATAACTATTAATTTTTATTTTAATATTTTTAATATTTTTGGGTTTTAAATATTTTAATCAATGAAATTATAATTTATTTTTAATTTTAAAAAACTTATTTTTCAATCTTAAGAAATCTTTATTTTCTATAGGTGAACGTTCTGGTATCGTTAAATTTAGTTAGGTATCGGTATCTTTAACTAATCAAATATTATGATTCAATGTCGGTTATTTTTTTTATTTTATTTTATTTTAAAATAAATAAAATTAAAACTTTAACATAATTTGTATTAAAGATATCGATATTCAACTTAAATTCATAGGTATCACTTGATGTCAGTTGATGTGAGAATTGTGATTGGCAGGGAGTTGGAACCACTTAATGGCAGAACTGATCCCTGAACTAGATTAGTCAGTTCAATGGGTCAAATACTCATGGTGAAACAAAAAATAATAATCCATGGGTACCAAAATTTTTATCTTTTTTAAAAGGTTGGAAAATCATTAAAAATATTGTATGAATTTATTTTTTACTTATTTTCTAAGATGTGGTTGTACTAGTCAAAAAATACATGTGTGTTTATTACCCCTGCAAGGGCAGGGTCGGCCAGAGGCCTTAATAGGTATATTATGATGTATGTTAATTAGAATTTTCCCACGGCGATGAGAAACATTGTACAATGTTGTTTTGTGGTGGTTTAAAAGACAGGATCACGTAAGGCGAGAGACTTTATATCAGAGTGGGGTGCTTAGCTATAAGTGTACTTAAGGTGTGATCTGTATGGCATAAGATATATCTTTCTCCCCCTGTGGAATGTATTTATATAGGCTTTTGGGGCTAGGGTTTAGGAAACCCTTAAGGGCAACAATCGCTCTCTCATGACTAGGGGAAGTTGTTGACTACCTATCTTCAGGGGATCATGGTGGAATTCCTTTTATCTGACCAACGATATTACACGCATCTTAGTGCCAGGGGCGAGCCCTTCTACTCCGTAAGGATATCTCATATGCGACACCACTCTTAAGTGAGGACGCCCTTGTTTAAGACACTCACAAAAATAACATTACATAGTTTCTAAAGCATAAGGACTTTGTAAAGGGGGAAATTTTTTCAATGCCTCTTCCATTTATGAGGTATATCCCTCGTCTCGGGGCGAGTTTCTCTGCTAATAGCGACTTTTTATTCTGAGGCGGGTCCATTAGCTTAAGGAGATTTTTCTATTAAGAGGTAAGTCCCTCAGCTGAAGACGGTCTTTTTAATTGCATAAGCTCTTAATTGAGGGTGAGTCATTTGTCATATGCCTTCTAAATAGCTAAAAATGTAAGTTGGAAATATCAATCAATCATTCATCTTGCCATGCATATTTTCATTTAATGAAAGTAATGATGACCTGTTTTTCGAGACCTTAAACGCTAATGGCATGTGATCCTACTGGACTAGAGTGGATCGTCGAGCCCTTACGTCGAGCTGAGATTGAAGCGAGATTGAGGGTTACTTGCAAGACACTCTGATGCCAAAGTAAATTTCAAGGAGAGTACAAGCAAGTGTGAGTATGAGTATGAGAATGAATATATGTACCTCTCAACTGAGAGGATATTTATAGCCCTCAGCGCTGGGCCAAGGTCCCCAATGTTGGACCATGATGAGGCCCAACAATGAAGACTTCCAGGGCTTACGTGTGTATGGAGTCCAACTCTGTGAGAATAGGTGCAAGACCCGTGATTTCCGAAGGGTAATTAAGATGACAGTGGTGAGAACATGTGGGCCACGTTCCCCAACGGATGCGTTGGGAGCTGCCCAACGGTCCCTAGCTTGGGTTGCTTTCCCTTGGGCCTTATACAAGGGTGCTGGATTGGGCCTCTCAACCGTGGGGCAAGTCCATGCCCAATCCAGATCAGGAGTCCCTCAAGTTATTGCCCTTAGGTGAAAGGGTGATGACTTAAGTTCAGCTTTTATGGTCGGGGAGAATTAGCTCGAGAAGGCAGGTCAGAGTCTTCTGAAAGGAAGCGAGTCGTTGCCCATGTCGAGGACAACCTATTTGCATTATATCGGGGATCTTGTAGACAAACGAGCAGTAAGACCGACCAAGTCAGGTGTTTGCCTGATGTCTGACAGAAGCATATAAGTTATAGGGAACTTCCACGAACTCTCTTTCGATGTGCCCATCTTCAAGAGGTTGTTACGACGTCGAGCGTTGTTTTTCCCTCAAGGTGGATCGCGAAGAATCTGGCTGCACGCGTGTCTCAGCCATGGTATCGAACATTCCCTCGTATGAGGCATCTGCCTCGTGCTCACGTAGGGAGTTATGTTGAAGTAGAGGACGTTTTCGTCTCTTGAGAATGGACGTGTGGCTGATTGTTGGGCCACATGGCTTTTGCTTTGGGGTACCATCTCTTTATGAGGAGTTCAAAAGGACCAATCCAATTATGACTTTTCATGATGAACCTCGTGGGGTGTGAGCCACCTATAAAAAGGGGACCTCTGGGTTTCATTTTTCATTTCTCAAGTTTTCTTCTTCAACTTCCCTTGCTCGCGCATGAATCTTCTCCTCTCAACTTTTCCAGATTTCTTTCAAGAATCCTTCATCCAAGTAAGTTATATCTCTTTAACAATGTATTGCCTTAGCGTTTATAGATTAAACACCCAGTATTTGTTATGACTGGATGAATCTTGGATGAATATTCATGAGTTCTGCGATGAACACTCATGAATGTTCATTGAGATTCATGAGTTTATGAAGTTGAGGTCATTCTCCCCGAGTAGTGGTCATGATGTCGGGGACGGTTTCCACGAATAGCTGGGGTTGACTCGGGCTTCTTGCCCGTTTGACTGGACATTCCCAAAGAGAGTGGGGTCCACTTTAGCTTGTAGTCGGGGGCTTGGGTCGAGGTTTGCTCCTCAACTGCTTCATCGCCCTTTCACTTGATCTGCGGTGGAAGGGTGAATTTGATAATGTCGAATTCACTGTTTTCCCCTGCTTTTTAGGTATAATGGCCCACTCGACTGAGGATGATGTCCTGCCCGCCAACTACGAAGATGAAACCAATGTTGAGGAGGACCCCTTGGCCTGGGTAGCACCTGAGCCTCGAAATAAAAGGTCTTGTTTTACGCACGACGCAACAGACGCGTTCAACTGTGCGGAGGTTCAGGCAGAAGGGGCCCCCGCAAACTGGATTCTTCAAATTCCCCATCACAACCGGAGGATCTGCTAGACGTATCCGGGCAAACATTTTCCCATGTATGAGTTTGCATTTAAAGAGGCGGGGATGTGTTTTCCCTTTAATAATTTTCAGGTGGGGTTTTTCAGTGGCTTCAATTGGTGTCCTCTCAATTCCATCCAAACGCACTGGTGTTCATGCTGGCATTTGAGCTCGTATGCCAGTGTCTACAGATAGGTGCCACGTTTCCCCTCTTCTTCCGTATCTTTTACCTCCAAAGTCAATCCATTGGAGGAGGACAAGTATGGGTGTCCTTCAAACAGTTTGGGAAGCTCTTTAGGCCCTATCTGGAATCTGTCCGACATTTCAAAGAGAGGTACTTTATTGTGAAACCTTTGAAGGACGCGGCCATAGACTCCCTATACACTCACGTGGAGGATGGGTGACCAGTTACCCGGCTCGTGGCCAGATTTCTGCTTGAGTGGCAATGGAAACACTTCGAGCAAAGGCCCTAGTATTATGTTGTAAAGCCTGAGGACTTGGATGCTCAGGACCAGCTCTCCTATGAGAAGCTGGCAGCCTATGTTAGGAGGTTCTCCCCCGTGAGGTGTGTGGATGTGAATAACAACCTCCTTTTTAACAACAACGGGGAGTACCTCTTAGTTAATAGGTTTATCAACACGAAGGTCCTGCTCTAATGATCCTTAGATGGGGAAGCCATGAGGCTCTTAGGTAAGGGATATGGTCGCGATGATTATTTTTGTTGTCTTTTATGCAGGGACGTGCCCGCGCTATTTCCCTTGTTTAACCTGTACCTGACGGTTTCTTTTTGATTGCAGGTCGGATGGCATATGTGATCGGTGGGAATAGAACTGACTGTTTTTTAGCTGGTTTCACGAAATGTCGCGGTAAGCAAGAGTCGCCACCGTCTTTTATGTTCTCCAACATGGAAAGGACAAAAGCACAGCAAAATTCCTTCTTTGAGAATATTTCTCGGTTCGGGAGGTAGATTTATAGAAAGGGAAGGTGTTAGCACCCTTTCTATATGTGGTTATCCACGGGCTCTTAGGTACTTGCTCTTATGTTTTCAAAATTTGTTTGCTTTTCAAGTGTGTGTGGGTTTTGAAAAAGTTCGTTTGGAAAACTTCTAAGTAACTCTTGTATCAGTCCTCAAGAGTGTATGAAGTGTTTTGTTAGAAAACTTTTTGAAAGTGTGGGGTGCGAAAAGTTGTTTTTTGTTTGTTTTGAAAAGAGCAAGTACCCAGGAGAATCTACCTACTCTAAGGAATTAAGCTGTGTAAGAGTCCTTTAGATAG